TTTTGTTTACTAATAAAAAAAAACTGAAAAATTAATAAAAACACTAATTATTTATGGAAATACCAGTGAGTGAACACCCCATATCTTAAATCAAATAGTTATTTCAATTACTTTCAAAACTAATTAGCAGTGTAATCATGATTAACTAACATTTTTTTTAAAAGTATAACTTTTATAATCTATCCTTGTGTTTATTCAGTGGTTCATTTACCTGTTCATATACTGACATACAGTTACTCTACAGAATTTTACTTTCTTTTTAAAACTAGAAAATAAAAATACTACCAGAAAAATAAAAAATAAGACAGTCAATTTTGATAATGAAATTTAGTAAATTATCTATTTCACTATCCGGATGAAATTTCTTTCATTAATTTATTCGGTCGTTTTAGATTCCAAATATTTTATGCGGATATACTGTGTCAGTATTTTACTAGATGAATATAACGTTTAGACTTACTTTAAGTCTTGATTAAAATCAAAATACTTACTAAAAATTATTTTCATTTTACGTAATTAAAGTAGAGCATTTAGTCACAGTAAAAACATCACTAAACTTAACCTAAAATTTCTTACTTCTAAGGATTCTTTTCTCAGTATATTAAATCTATATTAAATTTAGGTCTATTTCGCCCGCAAACGGGCGAAATAAGAATGATGAATTATTTCGCCCGTCACTAAAAATACGTAGGTGGGGGACAACGGGCGAAATAAGAGCAATGAATTATTTCGCCCGTTATATAGTTATTCCTATAATACCATTATAATACCATTGAAAAATTTTTAATTTATGACAGAAATGAAAAGAAGTGTGTTCAAGTCAGGTTAGTAACCTTCACACCAAATTCAAATAATTATGTGTAGCTCATTTTTAAAAAAAGTACAGTTTCTTTATTTAAGCTTTAAAATGAATTTCACACTTTCACACTTTCTTTAAAAAAAATGTTTTTGTCAATCAAAATAAAAAAAAATAAAATTATTTCTAAATTTTTCTTTCAAAAATAGTATCATAAAACTTATTTTCCAAATCTGAGTTAATATACTTTTGAACTGATTTGAACAAAAATAATAAGAATTTTCTAAAAATTAACGTTTTTAGTCTACATAGATAGGTAGAAAAAATATTAAAATACATAATCTAGTTTATTTTATAAAATATTATGTAGAAAATTACTAATGAGCACCAAAAATATTGATAAATAAAGAAACTTTGTGAATTATTATAAAAATTCACAACTTTTTAAGTTTTTAATTCAATCTTCACAAAAATATACAAGTGACAAGCTAACCTTTTTCCCATTAAAATTAATTAAAAAACCAAAAACGGGCGAAGCAATGTGTCATTGCTACTTCGCCCGTTTTACATATTTTTACTTATTTTTCATGATGGGCGAAATAATTTACTATTTTTATTTCGCCCGTTTCCCCCTACTTACTAATTTTTCATGACGGGCGAAATAATTCATCTCTCTTATTTCGCCAGTTGTCCCCTACCTACGTATTTTTAATGACGGGCGAAATAATTCATCACTTTTATTTCGCCCGTTTGCGGGCGAAATAGACACAGCGATAAGAAAAACTAAAACTAATTCATATAATACAAAGATTCTTCTGAAAATGCCGATACTTTGCGAATTTTCATAAAAAAACAAAATGCTCTTGAAATCAATAAATGGAATTTTAAAGATTATTTTGCATTTCTTTATTTACAAACAAAAAGGTACCTGATGCTAATTCTGAAAAAGGATTTCTATTTTTATTGGTTATATGACCACTTGTAGGCAGGGCAGGTAGCAAAACACTGAAAGTGCAGTGGTAAATCGACTCCGATTCTTATGAAGAATCGATTCTCGACGGCCTAAAGTCGATTTTTTAGAATCGATTCTTAAATAGTAAAAGTCGATTACGAATTCGATTCTTTGTAGAGAATCGAACATAGACGTACATATGTCCAGGGATGGGTGCGTATAATACATGATGTATAAAGGCCTAAGCACAATAGATTCGCGAAAGTCGTTCGCGAACGCAAAGCATGAGTTAGAAAAGGACAGAGATCTATTTGTCCTTGTCTATTTCATGCGTCTCGTTCGCGAATCTATTGAGGCCTTTCTCCAATAGGTTCCCAAAACTCTGTGTCTGCGTCGGTTGCTATAGCAACACATGCTAAAATCAACGCAACGCAGTCATTCGCAGACAAACGCAGAGTTTTTGGATCCTATTGGAGAAAGGCCTTTGTGCGTTGGACTTTATACGTGGTTTAAGGGTGCGATCCCATGTGAGCAGAATACGTCGACCGAAAGCAGAAAATCACGAGTGCAAAAGAGATAGGTAGATATTGTTGTTCTTTTCACTCTCATGATTTTCTGCTTTCGGTCGACGAATTCTGCTCACATGGGATCACACCCTTATGCATGTATAATACTACGTATATTACGTCCTAGGTTTTCTACATTATGTATATTACATGTGATGACGTAACTCAGTAACTGAAAGGTGGTATTTTAAAATTTCTTTGTTTTTAAATTAAAAATTTTTTATCGTTTTGTTAATAGTAAAATAAAATGTTTATTAATTAAAATCTTTACATATTTAATTTCTTTTATTTAGAAATTTAATCATAGCCGTCACAGTAATATATGTATATGATGTATATATAAGCATACAACATAACCTATATTCACTAGTGTCATAGTAGTGCAAAACTTTTTTTATCAATTAAAATTTTGTTTTAAATTTAAATATAGGATTAATGGGAATATAAATAATAAATAACAAACATTTGAGGTTATGGTAAAAAGGGTAAAAATGTCAAAATAAGTCTGCCATCATGATTTTGTATTTTACCTAGTTTTATACAGTTTTATACGTATAATACGTCGAAAATGTATTATACGTATAAAACCTCGAGTGACGCGTCAAAACCCATCCCTGCTGATGATTGTCTTTGCCGATAGAAAAGTTTCAAAAAATTGGACGTCAACGAATCAAATATATAAAGGCCTTTCTCCAATAGGTTTTAAAAAGTGTGCGAATGACTGCGTCTGCGTCGGTTGCTATAGCAACACATGCTAAAATCAACGCAACGCAGTCATTCGCACACTTGTGATAACCTATTGGAGAAAGGCCTTAATGCAGTGTTGCCAACGACATGGAAATTTCCCGGAATACGGGAAATTTTACGGGAAATGGATAAATTACGGGAAGTTCCGGGAAATTCTTTAATAGAACACAAATTTTAATTATGTTTAACTAAAATAAAATTTTAGAAACTTTTATTGGCAAAACCAATCAAATTTGTTTTATCGGCATGTGTATAAATATATCCTTCGACTGGTCTGTGAAGATTACTGGTGTAAAGTTTTACAATTAACAAATGCATCAAACACAAAAATATTTAATAATTTAAAGATAGTTATCCGACTCCTTTTGGTTTTGCCCTTCTCGAATGCCTCAGTTGAGCGATTAAGAGTTTTAAGTAAATTTAAAATTTAATTCTAATTTTTTAAATAATAAATTAAAAGTTTTAAGGGGGGGGGCACACCAGTGTAACGTTAAAAAGAAGTGTCTACGGCCGCAGTCCCATGGCAGCGTTTTGCGTTGCGTTGTAATGAGAGAGAATGCAGCAAACGTATATTTGCGTCTTTTTCTCTCCCATTACGACGCAACGCAAAACGCTGTCATGGGACTCCACCCAAAGTCATGAGAATGATTTTGATTAAAAATAAAAGTCGATTTTCAGCTATAGGAATAAAAGTTTTTCATAAAAAAAGAAATCCTTCGATCGGGAACTAGATAATCTTATAATAAATGTAAATCAATTTTATTCTTGCATTTTAGACAAACTATACTTATACGGAATGCTTGTCACCGCAATTCATGTTTTTTTTCCGAAGGCGCCATTTAAATGGCTCATATTTCATAAAGTTTTGGATGAAAAAAATTTTTCATCTTAAATTAAAGCCTTATATATGCACTTTTAGATAATAAACAGTATTTTTAAAAAAGTTTCATAGATTATTAGGAAAAAATTCTTGAAAAAGACACTTCTTTTTAACGTTACAACTGGTGTACCCCCTTAAATAAATTTGAAATTTAATTCTAATTTTTTAAATTAGAATACATAAAAATTTATAATCCCAATATAAATAATGATAATAATAATATTTAAAAAATAATAATTTTATGTTAGGGCTTATATACATAAGATTACATTGCGGGAAATTTCATGGAAATTTAAGAAACTCGTCCGGGAAAATTCGGGAATTTCTTAGTTCTATTACGGGAAGTTAAGGGCACTCACTCTGGCAACACTGCCTTAATGTCGTTTTAGCTTGTGAAACATAGGAACACGTTCGCTGGTTCGGTGGTTCGATGATGTGATTGTTGCTAAATAAAAAATTTAAAATAAGAAATAAAAATGAACCAAATTAATTTAAATTGACAATTTTAATGTAATAAAATATTTTTTAGATATTATTTATAACAGATATTAATTACGAGGTAAATTAGGTGCTTTAAAAAAATCATATATTTTGAGGTTATAAAATGTGTTATGAAAAAGTAATGGAAAAAGGTCAACATTAGGCCTTAAATGTGATAACATTTTATAACCTCAAAATATATGATTTTTTTTAAAGCACCTAATTTACCTCGTAATTAATATCTGTTATGAATAATATCTAAAAAATATTTTATTACATTAAAATTGTCAATTTAAATTAATTTGGTTCATTTTTATTACTTATTTTAAATTTTTTATTTAGCAACAATCACATCATCGAACCACCGAACCAGCGAACCATCGAACGTGTTCCTATGTTTCACAAGCTAATGGAGCACTCACAGCTCTGCCTGCCTGCGCAGGCAGTAATTGGAGTAAGAGAGAAAGTCAATTAGAGTGAAAGAGACAGTAAATTCAAATTTGTATTGCTGCCTACTAGCTGTGAGTGCGCCTTTAAACGACATTAGCAGAAACAGGTTTCCTCTCTTTGCCTCGTGGCGCGTAGGCGCTTCCGTAGTTGCCACATAAAGGTGCTCAAACTGTTTATTTGAGACTATCGAGACTATTTAGTTTAACCTAAATAGTCTCAAATAAGCACCTTTTTGTGGCAACTGACCGGTACGACCGACGACGTCGAAAACACCCATTATTTATTGTTTTTTGTTTCCAAGTTACAACAGATTTTCACATATTTAAAAGGAACCTTATAACAAAAAGGTGACAATGTCAACAAAAACAAAGCATTTTGTTGAAGAGGTAAATTTAAATAATTTATTTTAATCTTTAGAAAAATATTTTTTTTTATTTTCATATAAACAAATACAGAATATTTTGGTATTTGTTTGGATACAAATGTATTTAATTACAAAAAAATAAGTTACAATATGCTACCGGTCAAAATTGAGAGACAATACCTATTTTCAGGTGAATGAAAAACATTTTAAAACAAAATGTATGGAAACTAAAATTTTTTTCTTTTTATTTTTTGAAAGATGATAAAATTTTGATGAGTACAAGATCTTTCACAAGTCATTTAGCCAAAATTTTATTTAGATATTTTTAAAAAATCGTCATTTTCAATGTTTTACAAAGATTTGAATAACTTCTAAAATAGTAAACGCTTTTTAATGATCTTATGATTATTTTTAATGTTATTTTCTACAGTATGAGAATTACTTGAAGGCATTAACGTGTAATTTTTTTTAGAAAAAGCATTTCGTCAAAATTTGGACAAAAAAATTCGAGAAATTTGAAATAATTTTTTTGTACTAAAAACTATTCTAGAAAATATATAAAACATGATATGATGTAGATTTTTCAAGAAAATTTAATAAAAAAAAATATGTTTGAATTTTAAAAATTATTTTTCTGTTAATAAAAGATTGTAAGACGCATAGTAAGGTGGTCTGTATTTAGATTGTAAGAATATTGTCAACATCGAATTTTAATTTCTATACGTGCTATTTAATATATCTTCAATAATTTTAATTTCAATTTCAGTAAATTATTATTGAATAGAAGTAGTATTGAAATTGATCCTGAAGTAAGTTATTTTAAATTTAACCGAATTGCAGAATGTGAGAATTTTCTCGTAAAAGTATAGTAAAAATATATGTATAACATGACGTTGAAAAAATTTGGAATAGTTGAAACTTTAGCAAGTGAGTAATTTTCCTTAAAAGAAATTTAATGTAAATGAATTATTGTTAAAAAGAATAGTCACGTATAAGATTTTCTGCTTGTTTTAACTTTTGTAAAGCAACATCTTTATTTAATTGAAATTTTTAAAACTTTAATTTTTACGTAATGAAATTGTACTGTAATGGAATTTACAATTCACGAAAATAATTCATAACAGAATTATTATGCCGAAAAATTTATATTTGGACATATTTTAATTGAATCAAATATATGTTTAACGTAATTTGCAGTTAATATAATCTTCGTTTAATGGAATATCTACACAGTCAAAACAAAAGTCTTAAATTTAATGTTGGCTAGTTTTAATTTTTGACTTATCTTAAGCTATCAACTTTATTTAAGAGCATTTGAACCATTATGACGTCATAGGTTCTGCAAAGCATGTGTTTTAAGGCTGTGACGTCATCATGGTCACCGATTAATTGACTATTATCAATTAAATATTTAATTGAATCAAATAATATTTATGAGAGTCAATTAAATAATATTTGCTTCAAATACTAAAGTTATTGATTGAAATACAGTGGGACCTCGATTATCAGAACCTCTGTTATCCGAACCCTCTATTAATCCAAACCGAAAATCATTTTATCCGAACTTCTATTATCCGAACTTTTTTTTGGCCTCCCGAATCTTTCAAAGGAAAATAACGAAATTTATGCCAGAAAAATCTTTAAAAATTCTGAATTCTATGTTTTATTAATATATTATTATGAATTAATATATATTTACGTATATATACTTATGTATATTTAAAAAAGTGGATTAAATGAAATATATATAATTCAACTGTCGATCAGGGTGGCCACCGGACCTTGAAACCTTGAAATGAACGTGAATTTTGTCAAACCTTGAAAAAACCGTGAATTGGACGTGAATTTTTTTAAAAACCTTGAATTTTAGTATTACATATATATATTATTAAAACTTAATAAAAAAAATTTTTGACCATTTTCAAAATTTTATTTTTTGAAAAAATTAAAATTTTTCAGGGTTGCCACAGGTCAGGAAAATCAAGGAATTCAGAGAAAATTCAGGGAAAGTAAAATTGGTCAGGGAAGTCAGGGAAAAGTCACAGATTTTTATTTAAGTAACTGGAAAAAATTGAATTTTGGAGAAGTTACAAATGATTGCAGAAATTCAATTATTTTCAAAAGTAATAGAATTCTTCGCAGAAATTCAATTATGTTTGAAAATTAAAAAAAATTCTCATCAAAATTCAATTATCTTTAAAAATAATAAAATTCTTCTCCAAATTTCAATTATTTTCCAAAATTTTAATAAAATTCTTTGCAAAATTTCAATTATTTTCCAAAATTTTAATAAAATTCTTTACAAAATTTCAATTATTTTCAAAAAAATTTTCTCAATTCAATGATTTTCAATATCTACAGTTTTAATAAAATTTTTAAAAAGAATTCAATTATTTAAAACAAAAAAATTTTGATAAAATTCTAAGCAAACTTCGCAATAATTCAATTATTTTCATAAATAATAACATTTTTTACAAAAATTCAATTATTTTCATAAATAATCAAATTCATCATAGAATTTCAATTATTTTTAATACAATTTCAATTGAATTCCTCGAAAAAATTTATTATTCTATAAAATTTTATTAAAATTTCTCGACAAAAATCAAATTTGTGGATAAAATTCTTTATGTTAATTTAGTTTCGAAAAACATTCATTTATTCAATAAATTATTTATTTTTGTATTTAAATAATTGAATTCTTGTAGAATTTTCCAATAAAAATTTATTTGAAAATGAATATTAGTTAAAATTTTAGATAATAATTGAATATTAAAAGAATTATAGCATGAATTTTTAAAAATACATAATTGATAAAATACATCATTGAATTCTTTCGAAGAATTTTAACAAAATTTTTGAAAATAGTGACATTTTTCGAAGAATTTACTTAAAATTGTATTAAAAGTAATTGAAATCCTGTAAAGAATTTTATTAATTTATGAAATTAATTGAATTCTTGCAATGAATTTTTTCAAATTTTTTTTTCAATAATTGAAATAATGTAAATAATCTTATTATTTATGAAAATAATTGAATTCCTGCATCGAATTTTATTACATTTTTTTAAATAATTGAATTCTTTTGAGAACTTTTATTAAAAAAGTAGATTGTGAAAATGTTTGAAATACAACTTTTTATGGCAGCCACCACAATTTTTTTTTGAGTCAAAATTATCACTTAATTAAACTAAGACAATCAATTTCAATGTCCAAAGTAGCAGGAAAAAAACAAGTTACCTTTTAAAACTTAAATTTTACACTACTTTTACACTTCTGAATCACTTTACTCATTGTAAGAGCGACTTCTTTTTTGGTTTGCATTCTTAAAAATGCGTTACATCAAACAATAACGTACATGTTTATCGCGGAACTTAATTTATTACGGTTTCTAGGTGCAGTGCTGCTATTCGTTTTATTTATTTCATGTTTCCGCTGTCAGATAACTTAAAAGCTCAGGTGGTCCACTCAAAGTGGCGGTCCACTCAATGTGACATTACCCTATTTGTGGCAACCCTGAATTTTTTAAAATCTATACGATTGATTGTTCAGAATCGTAAGAAAAGCCTAAAACAAATTCGGCAATAAAAAATAATAATAAATGTGGAAGTAGTTGATTTTTTTAAGTATAACTATAGTAAAATTTGAACCAACAAAAAAACCTTGAAAATTTCCTAGAAACCTTGAAAAAACCGGGAAATAGACGTGAATTTTATTCATGAGTTTTGGTGGCCACCCTGTCGATTTTTTACTTTAATTATATTAAAAAAATTAAAATCTCTATTATCCGAACTTTTGATTATCCGAACCCGTCCTTGCCTAGGTTAGTTCGGATAATCGAGGTTCCACTGTAAATATTATTTGATCCAAGTAAATAATAATATTTAATTGATAATAGTCATAAAATCGGTTTTTTGAATCAAATAAATTTTTTTTTTCAGTGTAAATTAAATATCTTCTGGTCCAAAGTAATGAATAATTTTAAAAGAGACGGAAAATATTTGTTTAAAAATTAAATAATTTTAGCATTATAGAAGTTTTATTATCGTTTGATACAAAATATTTCTCATTTCTCAAACTTTATGTATTTTTAGCCTTTTCCATTTTAAATACAATTTTTAAATTAAAATTCATAATTAAAAAAATTTTATAATAAAAATATTTTATTTTAATTAAAAAAAAAATTAAGGCAAATTAAACGAAAACATTCGGACAATGAATAAAATATTTATTTACTCCAACGTTTCGAAGTCTATCAAAAAAAATATACAACATTAAAATAATAATAAAAATAAAAATTATATACATAATTAAAATAATAATAAAAATAATTTAACAATAAATAAATAAAATAAATATTAATGGATAATTATCTTACCAAAAAATAATAATTAAAATAGAGACGAAGACTTAAATTTTTATGCCCTGACGATGGAGTAGAGTCTCGAGTCAGAAAATTATAAAGGAACTTAATATTCATAAAATAAATTTAAAAATAATTTAAAAAAATTTTTTTAAATTTAAAAATGTGAAAAATAATAATCAATAATAAAATTAGTAACAAGTTAATAACAAATTAAAAATTAATTAATACAAAAAAATTTAAATTTATGAAATATTAATAATACAATTATGAAAATTAATAATAAATATAAATAATAAATAGTAAAGAACAAAAAATAAATAATAAACATACCATAAATAAATAAATAATCCGTCTTGGTATAAAAACAATAAATAAATAATAAATAACACATAGATAGGGGAGAGTGGTCCTAAGTTGGCCGCCTAAGCAAATTGGTCGAAAATAGTAACAAAATGAAATTTAATCACTTCGGCAAGTATATATTAGTGTTCAGAGATCGTTTTGCTATAATTTTGTGGTATTTAGAACGTTATAGAATGACTTTTGTAGTCTTAATACAATAAATCGTGAAAAGCTGCATTTTGGACATTTTAGAAATAGCGGTCCTAAGTTGGCCACCCCCTGGTCCTAAGTTGGCCACCACTTTTTTTCGCTTGA